CAGTGAAGTGCAAGGGTCGAATGCATTCCATGCCATGCCTACACAGGATTTGTCACAGTCCATGGAAGAGGCTTTTTCTTCTCTTTGGGGGCCGAAAGCGTGTATGAATACCTTGCGTCCGCCTCCTTCAATACAGCATCTTATGCCTCGCGACACTCAGAGACCTTCGGGAGCAACTCGACTTAGCTTTGACTTTCACACTACACCTAGGAAAATCACCTCCACCATGAAGCCTACTAGCGTCACTACCATGATCTGGGCCCTCGCAACTCTTGCGACAGCTGCACCGCAGGCAGAAATCGAGGCCCTCCAGGGCACGGCCAAACTTGTAAGTCTGTCTCCCTTCCCGTCTCCTGGGACGCCTTTCCTAAAGCGCTCGGGTCACCTAGGAATGCGGAAAGTGCTGGGGCGGCGGCTTATACTGCGCCGTGGGCGGTGCATACCGTGAATGCTTTGGCGGCACGGGTATCTGTGGGTTGAACACTCTGTGTCCTAGCGGCTGTGGGTATCGTCCGGGTGAGAATGATGGGTGGGCTACCTGTTAGATGATAACTACATTGGACCCGACGGAACTCTATGGATGGATTGGATTTTCGCCCTGGGTATTCACAATGTTCAGGCCTGAAAATTGACTGTGTACTGTAGTACGGCGTTCTAAAAAGGACTTAAAGTACCTACTACTGAACCAAGTGCACTTTGTTATGATCTGTGCAGGGGCTCAAGCCCCCTATGAAGCGACGGCAAAGCACGTTCTTTTGTGCCCTCCAACGCGCCCGGCCCTCTTCCCGGGTCTAAACCACTTATATAAGTGGCAATAACAGACTACCTTGGGAGACGATAAAAAAAAAGGTCGGAGATGCGGTTTCTCACGTGCGTTTGACAATCCGTGGACGAAAACATTTATACCTGTCTGACGGGAAACTTGCTGCGTACCTCCAAACTCGGACAATATCCAGCGTTACAATGAGCTAAATGTGAAACCTCTTATTGACGTGTAGTCATGCAGGTCGTCTGGCCAGCTATTGTCGGTATTGTTCTACTTGCCCCAAGATACGTCGCTCGATTAATGACAAACGGCAAAGGAAGCCTTCAAGAGGGTTGATATGAAACCTTCCATGTTGGTACTGCACTTATGTACGTATCCCTTATTCTAGGACCGAAACCAATTGGGTATGTATCCTAATCCAATCATATCCAACACCACAACCAACTCACGAAAGCATCCGTCTGAGTGGATGCGCCTCCGTATTAAACACCCACTCATCCAGGCTCATCAACTCGGGCTCCGAGTACAGCAAATAAAAGTACTTCAACGTCTCGCTCAGCCAAAAGCTCTCCATCGAGTCACTCATCCGCAACCGCTTTCCCCCTGGCGGGTTCACATCCTCGACTGCACTATTCGCCATCGCCGTTCTCGTGGCCTTGTCGATAGCCGCCCACATCTCCCACGCCTCATCCATCAGCTTCCTATCGCCCGTCACGCGGTACAACACAAACACGCTCTCGATCGCCTCCGGTCGGAGGATGTAGCACCCACCATAAATGTTCACCCACCCCTGCGGCAGGCGATTGTCGGCGATCACATCCTCCACCGGCTTGCTAGTTCCGTACTTCCTCCTCAAAGCATCATGCCAGACCCCGATATCCCTCTCCCACGCACAGTCACCCGCATCAGGACAAGCCACCAGCATAGTCGCCTCAGGTAACAGTCCCCTCGGCCCGCCCTTGTACAACCACACACACCCGCGCGCCAACTTCCCTCCCATGTCGACGTGCGACTTATTCCCCGTCAACCTCCCGCCCAACGCCAGCATCCCGCCCGCGAAACAAGATAAATGTTGCGCGCTCGTCTCGGTCCACGGGGCCCCAGACCCGGCGTGGCTCCGCGCCGTGCCGGAAACGAGGATATCCTCATCCCCCGGGTTCAAAGGCCTGTAAAACAGATACTTCGCCGCGGCGTCCACGCTGCGCGCGTACATCTCCTCATACTGCCCCACTTGCCCACCGAGTAGCGCGACCATCTTGGCGGTGTACTCGTACGCGCTGTCCGCCTCGGCGCCAAAGGTGTAGTCGCTGCCCCTGTCGAGGGAGTCGGCCGTCAGCCCGACATGGCTCGGCCAGAGGCCCGGGACTTTTGTCGTCATCTGCGTCTCGTATAGCAGATCCGTTATCCGGGCCGCAAGCTCGTGGTACTTTGGGTCCCGGGTCAGGAGACTCAAGCGCGTAAAGTCGAGGCTGTAGCTCCCCATCTCCGCCAGCAGCAACTGCCCCGGCGACCCTTGCACACTCCCCTCGTCCAGCGCGGCGTGGAAGTCCCACTTCGGGATGGGCATCCGCTCCGGCGTGTCGAAGGCCTTGTACAGCATGTCGCCCACGTCGCGCGCCTTGGCCAGCAGGCGCGCGTCGCCGCTGAGGTCATGGGCGGAGAGTAGGCCGCCGAGAAAGCGGATGGAGGTCTCGAAGGTGCTGATCTCGTTTGCCGTCGTGGCCTCGAAGGAGATGTTGTTGTGCACCGCGTCGACGGCGGAGTAGAATTCGTCTTTGAGGTCCATGATCCACAGCGTGTCGAGAGAGTCGACCAGCGTCGCTCCCCAGCCGCCGAAGCGGTTTTTCGCCTGCCCGCTCACGGGACCTACTTCGTCGTGCAGCCATGCGTGGGACTTGTAGGCGTTCCACGCCCGGAGGAATGTGGCCTTGATCGCATCCCGGCGTTCGAGGCGGATGTCCCTATCGCCTGGTGACTCGGCGGGGAACTTGGCCTGCACTGCCGGCAGTAGGCGTGGTTCTCCCGTTGGTAATGGTCGGAAGGAAGTCAAGGGGAAGTCTTGTTTGACGTGGCGCCAGATATAGGTGTCTGGGGCATGTCAGCTTTTGGGGCCCTTGCCGTGGAAAAGGGGCCAGTCAGTCTCACCTGGTGGTGGTGGTCGCAACGCAGGAAAAGAAGATCTGTCGGTCTTCAACCCCAACACCAGAAATGCGCAAGCCGTCGCAGCCAGAGCAACATATACAAGCAATTTTCGTCTCGTCGTCATTGTCCAAAACATGGCTGGATAATGTGGACGCCCTTGGAAAGCATGAGTTGTCCTAGGGACCAGGGTAACATCACACATACCAGTCGGTTCATGTCATAACATCGTCCAAAAAGATGCAAAACAAAGGAACAGAAGGCCGCCAGAGTCTGATGTGTTGTCAAAAGAAAGACAAGTTTGACATAGCCGCCGATCCGGGGGATATTAGACGGTTTATCAAAGCCCAGCCCGGCCCCCAAGTGGCCCCTAACCAGGGGGTGCTTGGCGGTTACCTGCATCGGCAGAAGAGCCGGCCAATCACAGCCGTGGTCTTGCATGTGCTGTTGGTTCCGGGATGCAAACTCGAAACTCCTATTTTAGGAAGGCTAAACAGTGCGCCTGTCATGGCGGTCATTTGGCGCGCTGTTTCCGCTGTGTTAGGATTGTTAAGGCTGTATCGTGGAAATGGCCATCATCGCTGTTGGCTTGGGCTTCGTAGTTCAGTGCGGCAGTACCGATGGCAGATATGTAAGTGTAGAATTGTCCATTCCAAGGTATGGGGTGTTTTCCCATTTTATCAAGTCTTTCCTCTGTTAGTTGCATTGCGTTTGGGCCGTTTTCTGTGTTTTCGACGTCAGCGATACCTTCAACTGCCTGTTCTTGATGAACACTTGTGCGCCATGACAACTGCATCTCTTCGTGTAGTCTCCTTCTTCGTCTTCGCTTTTCTCTCCTCCTTCGCCTCCGCAATATGCTACTACCCCAACGGCGACGCCTCCCCGCAGGATCTTCCATGTAACGACAACACGGACCACTCAACATGTTGTGGCCCGGGCTATGCCTGCCTGAGCAACGGCATATGCGTGCCGACCGGGCTCGAGAAGCAGATCCCCAACGCAGCGAAGTTCGTTCGTGGTAGTTGCACAGACAAAACATGGCGGAGCGGGAACTGTCCCAACTTCTGCGTCAACGAGGCTCATGGCGATACCCTGGACGGGGGGATAGGTATGGCCAAATGTCCTGGGAGCAAGGACATGTACTACTGCATGGATGGCTTCCCTTTCGACTGCGTCAAGGGAGATAATGTGTTGAGCTTCTCAGGTACGGGTCGTGAAACGAGGGGACAAGATAAGTGGAAATGGTCACTAACACGCACGGCATCATATCATAGGAACACCGACTGCCCTTACAACGATTGGCTTCGTTCCATCCACCTCGTCAACTTCAACACCTACGCCTTCTACTTCGCCTACATCTTCTTCTACGTCACCACCATTGACCTCGCCTTCAACTTCACCTTCGTCCACTCCCTCCGAGTCTTCCAGGTCGTCTAGTCCCACCGCCTCAAGTCTAAGTCCAGCATCCTCCTCCCAAGCCACCTCTCCCACCGCAGAACCAGCCAAGCAGCCCTCAACCCCTCCTTCCGCAGGTCTCATAGCCGGGGTTGCGGCAGGGGTACCCATCGGCGTCATCGGGCTCTCTGCCGCCGCGTTTATGCTGTACCGCAGACACCAAAGCAAAAGAAGTGCAGTGCAGACATCATCATCGCATCAACAACAACCGCCGTACAACGAGGCACCTGCTTATGGGCACCACCCCCATAGCCACGTCTGGACGGAGGACGACTACAAGAAGGCATATGACCAGGTTCATGCGACCCACCACCAGCCGCAGGCCGCCGCCATGTTCGAACTACCTGACGGGCGGCCGCGGACTCCGGAGCTGCCTGCGAGGACTAGCAGGTTGAGATTCTGAAAGTGTTGCCGTGCGAATATTGAAGGTTCAGGTGCTTATGGTCATATACCCGGGGGCCTGGTGTGTTGGCTATATCATAGTTGTTACATAGCATTCAAGTCAGGAAAATCATCAAGCGTATCAGTGATAATGTAGCAAAACACTTTTAGTCTCTATAATGTGACGTCAATTTTCAAATGTCACGGAAAAAAATGCAAAAAGAAAACGGCGCCGAAGCCAGAAGCCAAGTGATCCTGTCCGGCCGACACGGGCTCGAACCGTGTTCTGAAATTCAACGGACTTCACGCATTCACCACTGTGCCACCGGCTTATTAGTTAGACAAAGCCAATCTGAGTAGATAAACGTCTTTCGACGGGGCCAGTGAAGTTCCACTACTATTCACCGCCATAGCTCCTAAGCCAGTGACCACACTTGCGGCAGTAGGAGTGGAAATCATCTTGAAGTGGGTGCATGCCAAAACGCCCACAAATGGCGACGGTGTCGGCGTCTCAAGCAGTAGCACGCATCTTCAACCCAGCAAACAGCTCAGACCGCTTCACCAGTTCCGCCGGGGTACCGACATCAACAAGCCTCCCGCCCTCCAAGACAACAACCTTGTCATAATCAAGCACGGCCTCAAGCCGATGGTTAATAGCAATCAACGTCCTCCCACCCAGCCGCGTGCGGATCAGCATCTCCATCTTCTCCTCGGTATCCTTGTCGACACTGTCACACGCACACATGCCAGTAAGCTTCTGTTCCACAACCATACGATGAGGTTTTTGCGCGCGCAAGAAAACACATACCTGCTGGTAGCCTCATCAAGCAGCACGATCCCTCCCGCACCCCCAACTTCCCCGCCGCGCCGCTCCACATCAAGCAATACCCTCGCCACGCTGAGCAGCTGCTCCTCACCGGCGGAGAACTTGCAGTCCTCTCTGTTCGCCTGCAGGCCGCCGGGGGTGTTGAGGACCATGTCCCAGACCCCGCACTCGCGCAGCACCGCTTCGAGTGTCTCGTCGGAGAAGAAACCGCTGGGATCGAGTTCTTGGCAGAGGTTGTCGAACCCTTCTAGCTTGTCTTGGGAGATGACGTAGAAGCCCTTACGCAGCTGGCTGAGCGACATGTTGGCGTGACCGGTGCCGTCGATGAAGACTGACCCAACGGGGATGTTGACCATCCGCAGCAGGGCGAGGTGGAGGGTTGATTTGCCCGACCCCGTCTTGCCGCAGATGGCTACGCGTTCGCCGGGGTTGATGTTCAGTGTCACGCCGCGGAGACTCCAGCGGGTGTCTTTTGAGTCAGATGTGGAGGGCGTGGTGGCGTCGTAGGTGGCCCATACGTTGTCGAAGCGGACTGCACCGGCGCCTGGGCGGGTGAAGGCTTGGGCAGGAGCGCTGTCCTCTTCGGCTGGGGTCTGGCGCTGGAAGAGAGCGATGCGGGCTATTGCGCCCATGGATGTCTCGAGGCCAGTCCAGGCGACGATGAAGTAGGTCATTACCTCGCCTAGCGTCACGGCGTTGAGGAAGGCCACGCCCACGGCGCCGAGGCTGACTCTGTGGGAGCGCTTGAGGGCGATGGAGGCGCCGAGGACTACAACGACAAGCCCGGCGACGATGAGGTTTAGTACAAGTTGTAGCCAGCGCTGCACGGCGTAGAGGAGGTAGAGGGGCTCTTGTGAGCGGTCGAGCTTGTCGAGGAACCTGTCCATGTTGATGTCGGACCAGCCGTGGGCGCGAATAGTGGATAGACCGGCACCGGAGCCGGCCTCGGCAATCTTGGTGAGCATGCCTGCCTTGGTCTCGAGCTCGTGTAGACGGAGTTGCTTCGACGTCCGCAGGTAGAAGTGCTGCAGCACGTCGAGCAACCCGAGCAACACCGGAATGGCGCACAGAGCCGGTAGCGATGCGGTGGAGATGAGGACGATCTGTATTAACGCCGTGAAGAACTCGGATGACGTGTTAAATAGGTCCTGGGGCAGTTGCATGTCGACAAACATAAGGTCTTGGCTGAAGCGGTTCAGAGAGGTGCCCGTGTCTATCTGGCTGATGACTGGGAACTGGGCCTTGAGTACCGTGTTGGCGAGATGGCTGTGGAGCTTCTTGCCGGATCTAGGGATCAGGTGGAATTCTTGGTGATATAACCACGCGCAGAGTACTGTGAGAGCGAGGACACCCAGTGCTGCGTATATACCGAGCCAGTATCCAAGTCGGGTGTCGCCCTCGGCGGAGGCTTCTGCCCACCAGCGTACCCAGACATCTAGACGGTAAACGGTCAGCAAAGCTTTGCGAGCTCTGATGACAATCAATCCTGAAACAGTGGGCATCGTACTTACCGGAGAACTTGAATGTAAAAGCCCAACTTATGGCGCCAATAAAGAATATCGTCGAGTGGAACCAGCCAACAGACGTGAAGTAAGTTCTGTAGACGGTCCGGTCGCCAAGCATATCTTTCGCTTCCTGTCCTGCGATAGCCTCCTGCGCTGCTTGAGCTTTGGCCTGTGTTTCGGTAGGCTTTCCTTTGGCGGAAGAGGTCTCTCCCGCCTCGTTGCTGTCCTGTGACTCCACCTCAGCCGAGTGTTTCTCCTCGTCACTAGCCACTGGTGGAAGGCCGAGCACGCGGGACAGGTGACCGGACTCGTCGATCCGGTATACCTCGTCCGCTAGGCTCGCAATCCGTTCTATTCAAGTTAGTCTAGTGTTCTGTCGCAGACAGTAAGGATGACCTACCATCATGGGTGGTCAAGATAACTGTCCTTCCGGCCGTTGTTGGACTCCGCTTCATCAACGTTGTGGCAACATGCCACCTCGTCCTCCGGTCCAGTGCGCTGAACACGTCATCGAGGATTAGGATGTCGCTCTTGGTCGACAAGGCTCTTGCCAGTGCCAGTCTCTGTCGCTGTCCCCCGCTAAGCGTCACACCGCCACTGCCAATGGAGCCCGAGGAGAAGGCCGGTAGTTGCATGATATCGTCAAGCATGCAGTCTGCCGCCAGTTGTCGTTGGAAGTCCGAGTCTCTCAGCTCGTACCCGTACTGCGTTAGGTTCTGTTGCGCCGAGACATTCTCCAGCCAGGGGCTCTGGCTACAGTAGGCGATGGACACGGACGGCGCCAAGGCAAGCTGACCATGAGCCTTGTGCGCTTCGCCTATAAGTCCTTTGAGCAAAAGAGTCTTGCCAGTTCCCACAGATCCGATGACGGCAACCTTCGACCCCTTCCTGACATTGAGGTCGAGGTTCGTTAGGATGGGGGCATCATCCTGGTTCCAGCCCAGGGATACATCCCGCAGGGTTAGGACGGGATCGGAAGAGCCGTCCTTCTCGGATAAAACGGCCTCCCTGTAGTCTGTCTTTTCCTCCAGCATGAGAAATTCGTGCAGGCGTTGGAAGCATCCATAGGCGGCGCCCAAACCGGGTAGCACCTGAAACAGTTGCACCAGAGGCGAAGACAAAAGCGCGATAATGACGAGGGACGTGAAGACCTTGGAGACACTGAAGGAGTCGCTGCCAGAGGTACCGACGTAAACACCCAGGACGAGGGGTGGAGATAGTGTCAAGGTTGTGTACGCTGCGAGTGGACGGGATATGTCAGCCACACGCATCGCTCAAGGGCAGGAGACACACCTACATAGGAAGCAAGAGATGACAATGATCCAGCGGAACGAGGACGACTTTGCAATTTCAGTCTTGCGAAGCTCGTCGAGGGTCTCGTAAGCTGCCGCGTCCTGCGATGTCATCTTGATTGCCTTGACACTATCCAGTATCTGCTTCGTCCGCTTCAACCGCTTCTGCGTGGCTGCGAGCCATTTCTGCTGGCTGACACCCGTCTTCTTCACAATCTGGGAGGAACCCACGCCGGAGACTGGCGATTATTAGCCTGCTGATTCCGACTTGGGCGTGGAAGCACGTACCTGCAGCCACTCCAAGCATGACAAAGCAAGACGGCCCCAGCTGTCTGTACAGCAGCCACGTCGCTAGTCCGGTCTCGATGATGCCAGCCCATATCTCGTGGACACGCCCAAAAACATTCATAATACGCTGGAGGTCGCCCACCATCAGCGTAGTGGCGTGTGACTCGACTTTGTCCCCCTCCGGCAACCTCAGGAGCTTCTCGTAGATGGCGACCGAAAGCCCACCGCGTACCATGACAGCAATTCGGTACGCTTGATGCCAGTACCACCCAGTCGCTGCGGCGATTCCAACGTAGCACAAGAACGCCGCCCCGATAAGTCCATATCCGTGGCTGGGAGGGACGTCGTAGCCCGCCTCTAGGTATGTCAAGGCCGAGCTGACGAGGAAGGGCTGAGTGAAGGTGAAAGCAGTGACTGCGAGTCTTGCAATGACCGGCCCGGCCAAGGTCCACCCCAGTGAAGCGAGCGTGAGCAAGATGAGCCCATTGCCACTCTTCACCGGCTCTTGTCCGGAGAGCTCATCATTTCCTCCTCGGTATCGGTCGCTGATGTTTTGGAACCTCGGCCGAAGTCGAGCCGATAGCAGCCGGTCATCTACAGGGCCATAGTCGTCCTGGCCCAGTAGCTTGCGATAACCACTCGTCATGAGCCCGTTCAGCCAGTGGAAGACAGTTCGGCTTACAGGACCGGCCAGCACCTCGTCAGCGATCTTTTCGTCTCTCGCTAGAAGGTAGCCACTCTTGCTCCGGGCCTCGAAGAACAGCGCAACAAGCCGTATCCCCACAGCCACAGATAGGGCGACCGCGAAGGAAACGTTCCCACTGAGCCAGTGTGTGCGTACCCGTGTCGCCTCGAACAAGAAGGTCAGGGACAGGAACACGACAAGGAGAGAAGAAGGCCGAACGCTCTTCAAGTGCTCAACATGAGACACCAGTGGAATGAAAACGATCGCGACGAGCGAAACGGCAGCGCTCGCGATGGAAACTTGGGTCTTATCGGTGAGCCTGATCTGCAGAGCGAGAACGACGATGTGCACGACCACTAGTGCCGTGGCAGAGAAGAGCTTAAGCGAGTACAGGCGGCCATGGCGAACCCGTGTAGGAGCTCGTCGAAGAAACAGTACCAAGACAGCAGCCAAGAGTATGAAGACGCATGCTGGAAGTGTGACGAGTATGGCCTCTTCGAAGAGAAGCGTAAAGTCAAACTCGCGGCGACATGATGCCACAGACGGGCCAAAGACGGTGTCGGCGACAAAACCGCATTGGAGGCGATCCATTGTTGACTGGGCGTATGTCGAGGAAACGTCTTCCGAGGCCAAATATTTCAAGGCTTCACATGGTTTAAATGTTGGCTGCTGAGCTGAAAACCCAGAATATTCAAAGGATTGCGCCTTGCATGTCATGGTGCTGAAAGGGGGCCGA